TGCCAGCCACTCATGGTAGCTTATGGCAGCCCAGCTCCAGGTCGAGCTATTGTTCACCATCATAGCTGTAGAGGGTGCAGTGTCACTGGCCCTCATATGGGATCTGAACCGGGGCCCTGCTGCTCAGAGCTGGCGTCCCAAGCCAGTTCTTAACCAACGTGCTACTTGGCCAGCCCCTTGGTTTCACTTATTTTGTTCTTTTGCCCTCCAGTGTGATTATTTGAGCTTAACGCCTGGGAAAATCTAAGATGTCCCTAAAGTTTAGGTTTAGAGTACTAGATTAGCAGGACACACTGCCTTAAAACAGTGGCAGCCTTTAATATGCTGTGGATAATTGAGGTGTTACTGGCAGCAGATGATGGTGGTTAAGTATAGTATTTAGTTAAGAGCCCCCAGGGCTCTGGAATTAGGTTCCTAATTCAAATCTTGACCCTACCACTTCAGAGCTATGTGACTTTAGATAAGTCACTTAACACTACAGGCCTCACTCTCTTCATCTGTAAAATGGTGATAATGACAGTACCTGTATTATAGGGGGCTTAATAAATATTAAGTCTTATACAATTCTTAGCACACTCACCAAATAAATGTTAGCGGTTGTTACCATTCAAATGATTCTGCATAATGAATGACTTTCTTAAGCAATATTCAGATTATTTAAGAAAAGAAAAAACTTTGCATCCCTCTTTGAACTTGAAATAGAATTCACTCAAACAGTAATATGTAGATTATTACTTGTAACCTACCTTACAGTCCAGATTTATCATGAAAAGGAATTTTTACTTCATGAGCTAGGTTAATCCTGGAAAGAAATTTCCTCATTAGCAGAATATTTTAATTTCTGAACTTGGTGTGCTATGCTATTTCTAAGGTGGAATCTTAAAAGTTTGGCCTCTTATTTCCTAGCCTGTTTGTTGTTAACATAGGGCTATCTACTGGATCACTCATGTGGAGGTGAGATTGCCAGTGTAGTCATATTTCTAAAGATCTTTAACCCATTTTGACTTTGATTAGAATATATACTCGTAGATAGTCCCTTAAAATCTTATTGGGGGCTGGCCGAGTGGCTCAGTTGGTTAAGAGCTCGCTCAAGAGTTTGAGCTCTGAGCAACAGCGGTTCGAGTCCAGCCCGAGCTGAGCAGCCGCTGAGCTGCCAACAGGTAGCAGGATGGCTCAGCTAAAAAAAAAAAAAAAATCTTATTGGAACACACAGACCATGTGATTTACTCGGATAGTATTTTCAATAAGGAAACACATAAAAGAATCAGTTCTACATAACAGTGGATTTTTGGAAAGTATTTTTTAATATGCTGAAGCCTGTTACTTGATTTAAGCCATTTCTTGGGTAGAATATTAGAAAATCACAGAGATCTAGTTTAGCTGTATTGATTTATCTTTGAGAGTAGTGTGGAAAAGTAGGATAGCTATGATATGTATTTTTAAAATTTGTTTTAATTATACTTGCAAAGTATCAACGTATTTTCCTTTTAATACAATTAAAGCTTTATTATAGGATGAATATAAAGTTTTATAATTGAAGCTAAAGCCTCCACAAACATTTTTCTCTCAACTTCCCCTTACAAGTTCCCTTCCCTTCTAATCATTGCTATTTGAAATTTGACATTCTCATGTAGGAACTCTTTATGTATTTTATATACAGATCTTTATATTTTTCACCTAGTTTTTGGTTTTGCTTTTAATTTTGCTTATAGTTTTTTTTTTTTTGGTATAATTGGTCGTTTTGACACAATTAAATGTATTTTTTTTTTTTACAGTTTTTACTGTTTGTTTCTTATTTAAAAAACCTTACCTTAACTCAGGTTCATAGGATATTATCCTGTTTTCTTTTAGCACTTTTAATAATTTTAAAATTTATATCTTTAATGTACATAGAATTTATTTCTGTATACTGTGTGAAGTAGGGACATAATTTATTTTTTTCGAAGAGTACCAGTTGTTCAAATCCTATTGTTGAATGATTTGTTTTTTCCTCACTGTTTTGAAATGTTACTTTTAGCATATACTAAACTCACATATAGAATTTAGACTCTACTGCTGGGCCAGTACTATACATTTTTCATTACTGTAGCTTTAAAAGACCACAAGTCCTTATGAGAAACCCTGGGGATCAGATGTGGTTTTGGAGTCCAGATTTTTTCCCCAGTAATACCCATTGGGCAGGGTTATGCAGTGTCCTGTAATCCTACACATTTCTTTTCTCAGTGAACAGTCATACTAAGCAAGATACATATAAAGAGTAAGTGACCTTAGATCAGATCAGGTTTTGCTGCTAAATGAGTTAAAAATTAAAAACTTACTTTCAGACCTTTTTGGATTTTTGCATTGCAATTAAAGGATCGTGGACCTCTAATTTATCTTGCTGTTTAGGAGACATCTTTCTTCTTTGTTCTTCTGTTTCAGCTTGTTTTGGTTATTCTTGTACTTTACTCTTATATTTGAATTCTAGAGTCAACTTGTTATGTGAAGAATCCTGTAGAGATGTTCATTGGGATTTGAATAGTTGGGGAAGAACTGACATCTTCACAGTGTTTGTCTTCTCGTCCTTGAACATGGATATCTTTCCTCTTGTTCTGGTGTTCTTTCAATAAAGTCTTGTAGTTTTTTCCAAAAATGCTTGCATATTTTTGTTAGATTCCTGTCAAAGTGTTCTTATGGTTTTGTTGCTATTGTGAGTGGATTTTTAACAAATTGCATTTTATAAATTGTTATTACTGATGTACAGGAAAGTATTGCTCTTTACATATTGATCTTGTGTCTGACCAATTTGTTGAGTTCTGCTAATTAGTTTTAATAATTTGTCAGTTGATGATCTTGGGTTTTCCAGTTAGAAAAGCATATATTCAGACATTGAGTTTTATCTTTCCCTTGCCAATCACTATACCTCTTATTTCTTCTTCTTTTCCATTTGCATGGTATGGTTTCAGTATCCAGTTTTGAAATGTGAAATAGTTTTTAAATGATGTTTACAGTGAAATAAATTGTAAGCAAATTTTGAATGCGTGAGTAAATAGATGATAGAAGGGAGAGCCTCCGTAAGTGGGTGTAATGAAAAGCTTCTGAGGGGAAATTGTTTGTTATTGGAGGATATAATGTGTGATATTTTCATTACAGATATGGTGTAAGATATTTCTTCAAGACTGGACAGCTGAGGACCTATCATTTCTGATAAGCCTTAAGCAGACTTACAGCCATAGAGAAACCTCAACGGATTTCCATATTTTGCTTTCTGCTTTAAACCTTTCCTGGCACCTCAGTTCATCTTGCAACCATGTATGGAAGTGCTCGCTCAGTTGGGAAGGTGGAGCCGAGCAGCCAGAGCCCTGGGCGTTCACCTAGGCTTCCACGTTCCCCTCGCCTGGGTCATCGTCGAACTAATAGTACAGGAGGAAGTTCTGGAAGCAGTGTTGGAGGTGGAAGTGGGAAAACCCTTTCAATGGAGAATATCCAATCCTTAAATGCTGCCTATGCCACATCTGGCCCTATGTACCTAAGTGACCATGAAAATGTGGGTTCAGAAACTCCTAAAAGCACCATGACACTTGGCCGTTCTGGGGGACGTCTGCCTTATGGTGTTAGGATGACTGCTATGGGCAGTAGCCCCAATATAGCTAGCAGTGGGGTTGCTAGTGACACCATAGCATTTGGAGAGCATCACCTCCCTCCTGTGAGCATGGCATCCACTGTTCCTCACTCTCTTCGTCAGGCCAGAGATAACACAATTATGGATCTGCAGACACAGCTAAAAGAAGTATTAAGGGAAAATGATCTCTTGCGGAAGGATGTGGAAGTCAAGGAGAGCAAATTAAGTTCTTCAATGAATAGCATCAAGACCTTCTGGAGCCCAGAGCTGAAGAAAGAACGAGCCCTCAGAAAAGATGAAGCTTCCAAAATCAGTGTTTGGAAGGAACAGTATAGAGTTGTGCAGGAGGAAAACCAGGTCAGTTTTATATGTATGTTTGTTTACCTGTATTGTCGGAATTCATGTGTATAAGTGAAACGAGCCATGCTTTTTCTTTTCTTTCTAAGCTTTTTCCCTCCTTCTTTCATTTATCTTTCTGTTTATTATTTATTCTAGTATTTCCTGTCCTCTGTTTCTTAGCCTTTTCCAGATTTGGTTCTGTGCCTTAATTTTTTTTTCTGATTGTCACATCTTGCTCAACATTTTTGCTTGTTTGTTTTCCCTGGCTTCTCTTTCTGCCTTTTCTTACAGCATCTATTATCTTTTTTTGAATTCTCTTGGGAATGTAATTTTGCCACACACTCTCAAATCCATTATCAAAACTAGGCTATGTAACTTACACATGAGGTGTAACATTAAGATTTACTATAACAAATGTCAAAAAGTCAATCTTAAAAAAAATAAAAAAACTGTCATAAGAAAAATCAACATATTAATTTGGAATGGAAATTAGTTTTAAAAAGTTAATATTGATTATGTAAATATTTATTTAGGACCAACAATGAGGAGCAGTTCTTTCTGTGGACGTTCATGATAGTTTAACTTCAGGATGCTTATGTAACTTTTTGTTTTTAGTTCTTTTGTTTTAAAGATTTTATTGGGTAATTGGGGAAGGGAAACAGCCAAGTTGTTGTCCTTCAGTCTTAGTTGTGGAGGGCGCAGCTAGCTCAGCTCCAAGTTCAGTTGCCATCCGGCCGCCTGTCGGCAGCTCGTGGCCGCTCAGCTCAAGGTACCGTGTTCAATCTTAGTTGCAGGGGGTGCAGTCCAACATCCCATGCAGGAGTCGAACCGGCAACCTTGTTGTTAGGAGCACGTGCTCTCACCAGCTGAGCCATCCTGCCATCTGTTGGCTTCTCAGTGGCAGCTCAGCTTGGGTGCAGCTCACTGGCTCATGTGGGAATCGAACCGGCGAACCTGTTGCTCAGAGCTCGCGCTCTTAACCAACTGAGCCACTTGGCCGACCTCTCTCCTATACCCTTAAAGGAGAATTTTAAAGCAGCTACCTCATTATTAGTATAGCTGGTATTATACTTTATTTTTGGGTTAGGTTAATAAAAATTATGAAGAAAATAATAAACTTATTTGGATTTCTGCTGTGTTCTTTAATGATGCTAAAAAATAAAAAAGGAAATACAAATAATCTCTGTTTCTCATGAAGTAAATCTAATTTAAGATTTCTGTTTCACAATTCTATTAGTAATACTCAGTTCAGGCATTCATAGCTACTGGTTTGGTTATTGAAGTAGATATCTAGTTAGATTGTTTGTATCTTAAAGCCCCAGACTTACTTTTTTTTTTTTTTTAAGATTTTTTAATTGGGGAATTGGGGGGATGGGAACAGTGCTGGGGAATTGGGGGAAGGGGAACAGACAAGTTGCTGTCCTTTTGTTCTTCACTCTAGTTGTGGAGGATGTTGCTTCACTGGCCCAAGTTGGCACCATCATTGTGCTCTTCCCGGGCGAGGCAGATCAGTCGCCAGCTTCTGGACGGCTGCTCACTGTGGCTGCTGGCCGCTCACACTGGCTGCTGGCTACACACGGTAGCCCATGGCAACCCACTGCCACAGGGACTCATGGCAGCCCAGCTCCAGGTTGAGCTGTTGTTCAGCATCTTAGCTGTGGAGGGCAGTGTCACTGGCCCTCATATGTGGGATCCGAACCGGGGCCCTCTGGCGTCCCAAGCCAGTTCTTAACCATCGCGCCACTCGGCCGGCCTTGATTTACTTTTTTAGTAATAAAAATAGCTTCTTTTCTTCTGATCATAAAAATAATACAGAAAAACACAGATAAGAAAGCAAATTTATCCCAAATCCTCCCATCTGTGATAACTTTGCTGTTCTACTGTTAACATTTTGATGTTTCTTCCTAATGAATTATCTTTGTGCAGCACACATACAAATTTTACGTGAATGGAATATTATAGGTGTTATGTTGTGACCATTTTCTAGCCAACATTTCTACTGTGTATTAAAGCCCTATGGTATATAGCTAAATAATTTTTAATCACTAGACTATTGTATCTGTACTAGTTAATTTAGTATCACCATTAAAAATCCTCATATTTATTTGATATATGATATAGTATGAATTAAAAACTAAACCTTGAATATATTTAAATCAGAGATTTCAAAATAATTAGAAAATATAATGATTTTATTCTTTCTCAGATATAGCCTTAAACTAGTTGGCTTTTACTTTTTTAAAATTATAGTTGACTTACAACATGCTTTTACTTTTTAACCAGTGACTAAATTTAATTTATCACTCACAGAATCTGAATGTCTTATTAGTATACTTAAATCTTAAAAAGACCCAGTCTTTTTAAAAAAGAGGAAAATGCCTTTAGAAAGTATTCCTCAGGAAGTTCCTATAGTTTGAGTCTTCAAGACTTTAAAAATGTGGGGGCGGGGTGGGGATGAGAATGAAAATAGACCTCAGTGTTAAATCTTAAAAGTAAGGACATGGTTCCTAAATTCTGGCTTGGATACATCAAGTACCAACAGATATATTTATTTAAAATACAGATTTCCAGGCCTTGCTTTATATCAACTAAGTAAATATTTATAGAGATGGTGTCCAGAAACTTATATTTTAAATAAGCTTCTCTGGTGGTTCTGATGATAAAGCAATTTTGGAATATTTAGAATTTAGTACATCTAATTCTTAAACTAGTCTATTGCTCATCTACTATAGGGAATTTGCTCTAGTGCCACTTTAAGGCTCAATTGTGAAAGAAGGGAAAAGAAACAAGGGACCATTGGCTCAGTGCTTCTCATCCTTTTTTTCTCGCGTGTTACACTTGAGGGTTGTGACAGACTGCTGTACATAAAAATCATTAACTGTGACAGTGAACCTCCGTAGAAGGAATGTGTGTACAGAAAAAGGGCGTTTAAAATCTTAGTTATGTTTAGTTAAAACAAAGCGACCCAGGTGATTTTGATATCTCCTCACCTTGAGAATCGTTGATGCACAAGATAAGATATTCAGATGATATTTGACAACAGAATCAGGAAATACCTTTTCTTCAGTTAAAATTTCAGTTGCAGAAAGTGAAGTACAACACCAAAAGTTTATCATTCCTAAATGTAAAATAATAGTACATTCTGAAAGTTTTATAGTTTGGTGTTGAGTTGTAAACATCAAGAGAACAAAGCTGAGGAGGTCCAAGATGGCGGATTAGGTACGCTATACCTACTGCATCCCAGAATTACACCAAAATCACAAATAAATTATAGAACAATCAACCTCAAGAATCATCTGAACACTAGCTGAACAGAAACCCTATAACTAAGGATATAAAGAAGAGACCACATTGAGACTGGTAGGAAGGGCAGAGACAGACATGGAACAGGCTGACCCCAAACCCAGAGATAGAGGTTGAACATTAGGAGGGACACCTCAGTGGCAGAGGTCCCCCTTGAAGAGGGATGGGGCCCCCAGCCCCTTGCTGGGCTCCCCAGGCCAGTCCTGTGCCAGGAAGATGTCTTCCCACAGCATCTGGCAGTGAAAATCAGGACTCTTTATCGGCTTTTCCTGATGGTGCCGAAGGCAGCTGGAAACCCAGACTCCCTCTTACAAAGCCAACACATGGACTCGCTTGCTTGTAGGCACTCACCTGGTCTCTGGTGGAGGAGTGGCGGCTTGGGGTGGGGCTCGGGGATGTTCAGGAAAGGACTGAGTTGTGTGGCTTTGGCAAGGGAGCTGGAGGGACAGGAGCCATTATCATCCATGTGTGGAGCCTGACACAGTGAGGCTTACAGGAGGGCGCCATCTTTTCAGGGTTAAGCCCTCCCCCAAAGGGCCAAGTGTGGGATTGCATTGGTCTGGTGGAATCATGGGTACACACTGCCTTGGTGACACCCTGGGTCCCCACCCTCCACACAGCTGGTGCTATATCACCTGGGAAAGCCTTGCCTTGACTGCTGGGCTGCTGGCCCCACCCCACAGGCTATAAAGCCCATTTAAAGTGGCAGAGGACCTGTGGTGGCCTGGGAAACGTTTGGTGGAGGATGGTAACCCAAGACCTGTGTTGCAGCAGAGACAGGCGGTGGTGGGCCTGACACGGGTGGTGGCTGGCTGTAGTGTTCTCGGGGCGTTTTTGCGGGCTGGTTACGGGCCCAGCACTGGTGCGGAAGCTGAGACTGCATTGATTTTGTAGAAACCACTGACCACACCCCTAGCTCCCTGGACCCCTCGCCCTGCCCACCTAGAACTGCATGGCCATGGGCACGGTGGGTGCCTGGATGGCCATCCCCACCCCACAGGCAGAGGAGGTCTTTTACAAAATGCAGTGGCCGGGGGAGATTTTGTTGGTGGACAGTGATCCAAAAACTGCACTGCAGCCACTTGGGGGCGGCTCTCAGGAATTTGCGAGCCTAAGGTGGTGGTGGACTGCAGTGTTCTTGGGGCACTGTGCAAGGTGGTCACAGGTTGGGCACTGGTGTAAGAACTGAATCTGCATTAGCTTTGTAAAAACCACCAGTCACATCTTGAACTCCACCCCACCCAGCTAGTGCTGCATCACCAAGGGCACTCTCAACACCAGGTCAGCCAGCCAAGCACACGCACTGGCTGTTTCAATGGCTAGGCTTCACAAGGCAGGTGGTAGGTGGCAATAGGTGAAGGGAGCTGGGCCTTTTGCTAAGCTGCCTCGGACCCACTATTGTTGGCAGCCATTGTCAGTTCACAGGGAGGCTACCCCCACATTCCTCCAGGTCCAGTACAGACAGCAGCCAACCACATATAGCTTTGTGGCTCCTACCAGGTAGCCCTGGGTCGGTAACAGACAAGGCTGGAATTGCTCTGCACAGGAGCCCCATCCAAAAGACACCAGAAACAACTCACCCAGAGGCCAGCTTCAGACTGCACCAGAGCACTACCTGGTTAGCTAGTTAGCCCCACAAGTGGCACACCCAAAGGTGGGGTATCAACAGGCACAAGAGCCCATGGGTGAAGCCTCCTCTGAGGGGTCAGCCCCCA